CAGAACTTGCATTTTCAGTTTAAGAAAGGGTCTAGGGAACACCCAGAAGGCATGATTTTGCATCATTTGTTCTATAGCTTCTTGGGCCTTCAGCGGTTCAAAAACCCTTCAAAAAAAATTTTCCCTCGCTCCGCTCGGTGAAACATGTTTGCCAATACTTTTAGAAGAGCCTTAGTTTCAACCAAACTTTAATACTGTGTATGTATGCAATACATGTATATGCATTAGGGGATATAAAAGATTCATTTCTGCAGAGGATAATAATTAATTCTGATTAAATGGTACATAATGACTTGACTATACATGAATTATTTATAATAAACAAATAATTTAAAAATTGTATGTTTTCGAATATTATAAATATAGTTGTGAAAATAAATAATCAGTCCCTTGCTTTAATGAAAATGAAAAATCTTGCTTCAATAGTGCAGAAAATAGATAATCTGTCCTCTTAGTTTACAAAAATAAATAACCGATCCAAAACAAATCCTCCTGCCCCCCCCCCCCCCCCCCCCCCCCCCCCCCCCCCCCCAGAATATCAAATGGTCGTCCTCTAATAGTTCTCTAAAATAAGATATGATGTAATACAATGTATATTTATTTTCAAGTTATAATCAAATATAATTAATAGTTCCAAATATTTTTTCTTTCATTTGTCACAAACTAATATAGATTTGTAACTTATCTATAAAATGTCAACAACTTTTATCTGTACACAATGTAATGTAATGAAATATATACCTTAATAAAAATAGATTATTATCTAATTAAAAGATTTCACTTCATAATTTTTTTTTATGTATATGGCATTCAGAAAATGAGTTTATACAAAATAAAAAACACTTCAAACAATTAACCAAAGAATGTCTTTATGAGTTATCTCTCTTTGTACAGAAATATGGTTTACCATACAAAATGTAGTACTCTAACATTAGATATGGACCATGATAACTCTGGACTAAATCATCAGACCGGAACAAAATTAGAACTTGATCTATAACTTGTCATGATAAAACTATATACCAAATATCAAATCAATATCTTCAAGAACGAAGAAAAAAAGTGTGGAAAGCTGATTTGCAGGACTGACGGATGGACAGACGGATGGACAGACAGACGGAAGGAGTGCAAACCTTAAGTCCCCTTCGACTTCGTCGGTAGGGGACTAAAAACATACAAGACTAACAAAGGCCAGAGACTCCTGACTTGGGATAGGTGCAAAAAATGCATGTTTAGTGAGATCCAAAACCCTCCCCCTTTACCTCATGCCAATTTAGAATAAACAAAGACACATCAATATGCACAGTAAAACTCAGTTTAAAAGAAGTCCCAGTCCAATGTTAGAATAGATAAGAGAAGAAACTAAGCAAAATGACAATGATACATAAATTAACAAAGGACTACTAGCAATTACTGACATGCCAGCTCCAGACCTCAATTAAACTGATTGAAAGATTATGTCTTCATAATATGAAAATCAAGCACAATCCCTCCTGTTAAGGGTTTAGTACCATGCTGGATAACTGATCAAGTTTCATTTGTAAAGTGTCTTCTAATCAATAATCCTCTCAAATCTCAAAACAGTTTGCCTTGTTATTTCAAAGGACAAGATTTTTGATAACTGACCAATGAGAATCAGATCTTCTAGGGTGGCTAGCCTTTTTCATCAGATCAGAATCAACGAAGAAGGTTTGAAAAAATCTCCAATACATAATTTATAATAACTTTGTTCCATATTGGACAGGTGGTTTTGGTGATGATCAAAATTTGAAAATTTACTTAAAACAATAAATACCAATAAAATAAAGCAATAAAGCACAAATACTTATAACCACTTACTTGAATATATGAAGGTTATATAGAAAATGAACCACTCTGTCTTATTAAATATCGTTTTACCAATTACTCAATTGGTAGAATAACAAAAGGCTCAGAAAAGTGTGCACAATAAAAAATTTTCAAACTCATTTATATTAGAATTACAGACCGTTCCAAGTTACTGAAAGCAAGCTTAAAGTACTTTATCTGCTTATATAGAAATCAATTATTAAAGTGTAGGTATAGCTTTATTTTGTTATTACAAATCATTAGACAGGTGATTATTTCGTTTTTTTAGGAATTAGAAGCAAGATTGTTTGTCTGTTTGTCTTTCTCTTTTTTTTATCCATGGTGTTGTCAGTTTGTTTTCTACTTATGAGTTTGAATGTCCCTTTGGTATTTTTCACCTCTCTTATACCTACATTACTGTATATCTGATGAAGAGTGTCTCTTATATTTCCAACACCAAGGTCTGTATTTATCACGATCTTCAGTCCAGATGGTGTTTCATAAAAATGTAGTTTGTATCTGTTCGTCTTAAAATTTAAAAATCCATCTTTTCTAGTTATAAGTCAAGGAAGTCAAGTACACAATATACATGTATAAAAGACATGACATATTATTAATAAAATTAGTTTACAAATTTAGGGTTATTTTTATGAAAAGTGCTTGTTTATCGGTTTTTTTCATAAATCAGGCTGTTAGTTTTCTCTTTTGATTTTTTTTACATTTCAGATCCAGGATTTTGAAAAAGGGGTGGCCCAAGGCCCCCAAGCTAGGCAATGTTTAGCGTGGAACAGGTAAAAAGTCTGAATTAACCATACATGTTGCTCCATAAGGGGAGGCAGGGAAAACTGGGTCCCCTAAATCAGGCTCTGCATTTGTTTTGTCATGTCAGGGTCTTGTATAGCTTACTATGCAGTATGGGTTTTGCTCATTGTTGAAGGCAATATGGTGACCTATAGTTGCTTGCTTCTACATCATTTGGTCTTTGGTGGAAAATTGTTTCATTGGCAATCATACCACATCTCTTTATTTTCTTGCATGTTACAGAAATGAATTTTGATTGTAGATCTATGTGTCTGTTTACCTTCTGATTTTAATGAAAAATCAGGAACTGTCTATCATCATTGATTAATTACATTTTGTACAACCAATCTAGAGCTCCAAAGTGTTATTTTACAAAAATTTCTATGGGGTTTCTGGTTGGCATTACCTGATAAATGCAACATTCTCAGTGTAACACAGAAACAAAAACCTTTAAACTTTACTTACAAATCACATGGTCACTCACTCAAGAAAGTTAATTCTACAAAATATTTAGGCCTAACTCTTCAATAAAACTTAAAATGGGATAAACATATCAATAACAGGATATCAAATGCAAACCAGTCTCTTAGAAACCTTAAAATAGCCTCACCTAAAGTTAAAGCTCTTGTCCAACCAAAATTAAAGTACTGCTCACCATTTGGGGTCCACATCAGAAACAACAAAATTTCACAAATTGAAAAAGTACAGAGAACAGCAATCGCTTCACACCACTAGCTCATTTACTGATATGATGACCGACCTAATTTGGTACCCACTCAGATTTAGGCGATTAAAACAAAGACTTCATTTTTTTTACAAAATTATACAAGAAATTGTACACACTCATTTAGGCAAATACAAACATCTAAAGACAGTAATAAATATTCATCTTATCTGCATACAGTTATAAAATGGAATCAATTGCCACAACAAATAGTTTCATGCAGTACAGTACAGGGTTTTAAGAGTATGATACCAGAATCTGCTCTGATCCCTATTTTCTACCCTTAACTGTTATGGTTATCAAATGTATATAGTTAACATTTTATCTAAAAGGATAGCTAGAAACTGAAAGAGAAGATGTACATACATGTAAGGTTTTGTTAATTGAAACATTGCACATGTAAAAGTCTTGCCCATTTACATACATGTACATGTACACGTAAGGTTTTGTTTATTAAACCATTGTACATTTAAATGTCAGATGAAGTAATTTCTCTGCAATTCTATAAGGATACAAGTCTGTTGGTGATATCCTACTGACAAAGGACTTGATGGAATGTATCATACCATACATCAATTTAAACTCCTGCAAAATATTGATTTATATACATCATTAGACATTACATTTTGTGCATTATACACTTACATTGTATCTAATTTTTCTATAATACAAATGCATTTAAAACCAAGGCTAGACAGTCAGGGGTACTACTTGTACAAGTAATTTTTATTTACTTGAAGAAGTAAATATTAATATACTTATATAAGTAAATTTGTAGGATACTTATACAAGTGTATTTTATTTACTTGTATAGGTAAAAAAAAAATTTGGCTTAGTTATGTCCCTTAGACATTCAGATTTTTTTACTTATACAAGTAAAAAAGTCATCCTATCTTCTTTTCTTGAATTCTTAGGACTTCTTTGCTCTAATAGAATTTTTGATTGTCTGTCCTTTGTAGATGTCTTTACTATTCATTTAAGTGTAATTTCATGGACAATGAAAATCTCATTTGTCTGTTATCTTCAGAACACTGCTCATTTACAACCCCCCAAGTAGGCGAGTGACAATTTTCAAAAAGACGCTTAGTTAACGACTTTAATGCACCCACCTAACATACGGCTATATTATATATCATTCGAAAGCTTATTACCTGTACTTTCATTTTTGCTCGGTCGTCAATAATTCGTACGGTGCAATTTTCGTTAAATCAAGGTCAAAGGTCTAAACTGAGCATTCCAAATGTTTGCTATAATTACACAAAATGCCATTTTCAGGTACTTGTATGGCATTTTATTCCCTAAAATTGATCTAAACCTTATAAAACAAATTACCATGATTTCAAATCAAGTGCAAACTTAAATGTTGATTGCGCTATATTAACAAAAAATTGCATTTCTTGAAAAAAACTTCCAAAAATGATAAAAATTGCAATAAAATCTAAATGTTTTCTGAAATTTGAATATTTGTATGTCAAAAATAGAATAGATTTATTGTTTATGGACCGAGGGAATTTTTTCATCATTTTAAACTGCAATTAATATGATGTAGGTCCAGATGGAGCCTTCTAATGAAGCTTTTGTAGTTGCCCTAAGAGACAACATCTGCAAATGGGGATCATTTAGCTTTTTGTTTGCTAGATAATATTGCTAATATCGGCAGATAATGATGAACCATATTTAAAAAAAAGGTTATTATATGGAAGAATTTTAAGGAACAAAAGAAGTATATTTGGTAAAAATTAGTTTCCCGATGTGGAAAGACATGTTACGAAGATTATGCTCATTCAATGTTCGAAAGAAAACTGTCTGTACCATGCGCTTTTCAATGTCAAATTGGGCGACTTCCTTTAAATGTTAACCCATTATGATATACTTTGTTAGTTGTTTTATTAAATATGACTGAAAATTAATAATTCAGATGAGATTAATTAAGATTGAATAACCTTCATGAACAACTGTAATCACCATACTGGTTTATGTATTGTTCACAAAATTCGGTATAGTGTTTTAAGAAGATTTGTTTGTCTGTCCTAATTTTTCGCCATGGTCATGCTGTCATCTGTTTTTCGTCGACCATGGTTTGAGACTGCCTCCATATTATTTTATCCCTGCTTCAATCAAAGAAAAGAAAACCATAAATTTCCAAACTGAGCGAAAAAAGACAACAGAACTTAAAACTCAGATATTGATGCAAAAAATAAGTTAGTAAAACAACATAAATTACTGAACTCCAAGTGAAATTTCAAAACAGAAAGTCTCTTATCACATATCAAAGCCAAAAGCTGAAACACATCAAACGATTGGAAAACAGTTGTGATAGACCTCGTAGTTCTCTCTCCATCTCTATCTATCTTTATATGATATAGCGGAAATGTAGGAATCATCTTGTCCTTACGTCCTTTTTTCTTTTGTTCTTTCCATTCACATATCCATATGTTAGTCTCAAAATTGTAATGAGCAATATTCTTTCGACATTGCTTGGCAGAATTATGGAAGTTCAAAGTGCACATATGGAGGTTATACGTGAAGGGATTTGTTTCATAATAGACATATTCAAATAGCGCTAAAAACAGTAATCACTTTAAATTTACCAGAACATACCTGCTTTCAAGCTATCTCATTAAGTTAACCCTAATCTTATTAAAATGTAGTTCTCTGATTTCGTTATTCTCATGCAATATATGAGCAGGCGAGTCGTGATTGATAGTAATTTTAGTCAGATTGTTTTAACCCATGTTTTTAACACTTATACATAACATTTTGTACGGTTTTTTCATGTCAACTTATATCACTTATTATTGTTGTGAGATCTTCGCACCATTAGAAACTTGAACCAAAAAATATGAAAATAAAGTGAGAAAATCGCAAAAAGTCGCTGTCAGATCAATAACAGAGGGCTCAGTGCACAATAAATATCCACGAACATAATTTAAGATCAGATGACATAAAACCAATTAAAAAAACTGGATAAATTCAACCACAATTTTTTATTTCTCACAATTGTATAGATATTTTAGAATAAAATAACTTCATTTTAACCTTGGGCATTCCATGGGCCTTAACCATTTAAAACTGATCGCCGCAAAATACTTTAGAAGCCAAAAGTGCTAAACCGAAAATTGCGTCAAACACCAACAATCAATCAATCATCTTTATATTAAAATGTGTTTATATGTAAACTATTTAGGGAGTAAATTTGATTAATGGAAATGTATGTATTGTTATTGCGAATTGCTAGATTTCCCAATTCAAAAATTAATGTAAGTAAATATAATTGCAAGGGTCTCAAATTATTTACAATAAATGACGTAGTTGGATAGGATTAAACATATTGGCCAGGCATGAAAAACATTTCTGTGGCTAGCTTATAATAGTTTTCACTTCCTCATTCAATGCAAGATGCAGTATAAGCAACCAAGAAAACATACAAATATTGAAATATTGAATTATCAAAGTTTCGCTCCCAAACTTTTCCCTAAATGCACGAATTTTCTGTGTATTCTATCCTTTAACATTTTTGCACTTTTAAAATTTGTGTTTTTCAACATAATATCGACTACATACAAATTGTTTTAACAAAGAACAGCTAAAGAAGCTATTTTCTTGTAGATGGCGGTATTTTGGGCAACTGCATGGTTGTTTATATTTGGCTGTTTAATTAACAAGATGCGTAATTGCAGTAATTTAATGATGTCAAAAACATCCTGAGCACTAAATAAAATATGTTATTTGGTTTCATGGTGAATAGCAGTTGAATCACAGACATAAACTTTTATTTTCATGCATTTTTGTCATTTTCAATGGAATTTCTGGAAAACAGCGCTATTTATTAAAAATCTGACATTAATATTTTACTAAGTTACTATTAATATCTGTTCTAACAGATTTCCATATGTCCATACAAAATATCATTATTCAGAAGACAGAATATGCAAACAATGCTGACTTCTTGTAAAATTAGAAGTTGTCCGTCCTTGACCTTTCGTTGTGATTTGACAGAAACTACACCATACGAATTTTTGACGACCGGGCAAAAAAGGTAGTGCAGATGATGTGCTTTCGAATGGTATATGATTTAGCCGTATGTTAGGTGGGTGCATTAAAAATAAAATTTTATGGTTAATGTCACTAGTCTAAAGGGGCAATCTTTGTGCAATCAGTTTCTTTGTTGAATTAATGACATGAAACATTGAACTCTAATAAAAAATTATGAGCTAACCTGAGAAAAATAGTTAAAGGCATGTTTTTAAATCTCAAAACTTGAGAATTTTTGTGGGATTGTAAAAAAATTTTACTTATACAAGTAAATTTTTGAGAAAATTAAGGGGAGATTATTCAAACATTATAATTAACTTATATAAGTTTATCTTATTTACTTCTTCAAGTAAATAAAGATTACTTGTACAAGTAGTACCCCTGACTGCTAGATGAGTTCTTCAATATATCTGCAAAGTTTTAGTCTTTTAGATTGCACTTCAAAATAATAAATGAGAAATTGAAATATCATTATGATTATGTAAACAAGAATACATGTACATGTATGTGTCCAGAGGACATCATGCCCTGCTTGCACTTTCACAATTCCATGTTCAGCAAAACCATGAAATCCTAATTTTGAATAAATATATACTAAACGGTTCACTTCATAATGTGTAGTAAGTTTCATGTTGATATGACCACCACCTGCCTTTAACCTGATACCTGGATGGTTGCACAGACAACAAAACATAATGGGCTTCTACCATTGTCTACAAACGTCTGATAGCCTTTTTGGTACTTGCTGGCAATCAGAGCCCATTACATGTAGAAAACCTTGAAATTGTTGATCCGAACTTGAAGTGACAAGTTAATTACTATCTCAAAATTATTATAGATCCACTGTCAAGCACATAAATCACATGCCATTTGTTTTCCTACTCTTTTATCCTCATAAATATGTACATTTTTTTCAACAATAACCCCCTGTAGGCCATATAGCACAAACAAAAGTTTTATTCCCTTTAAGTTCAACCCCCAACCTAGTCCAAATAACTAATTCGTAGAAAGACGTCACAGCAAAAAATTAAAATAGAATTATACGTCATAATTATTTGAACTACACTCAGCCAGTGACAATCTATACTAACTGTTAGTATAGACTGTCCCTGCCTCAGCCCCAAAAAATACAAACTGTAGAAAATGTATGAATAACCTAATTACAGATCAGTCATGACTGTACAGGCTTCAACAATGAGGAAATCCATACCGAAAAGTAACTAGATACAAAAGGCAATGGGCCTCCAATGGGATGACATAATGTTAAACAATTCAAACGAAACAACGGGTCTGATTTATACTACAACTGATAAACGAATACGGGGTCTATATATAGGTATTATAATTATATTATATTTAAAATTATAACGTAAACAGTCATGTCAGTGTCGCGTGACCTACATAAATATTTACCTCTGACTGGCTCATCCCTGCTGATTTTCTTCTGTTCCATTCTACATAATACAAGCATGTACCATTTCTGTCAAATATATGTAAATTATAAATTGTCATCGTTTGATCTTTTTGATAGTTTAAACCGGAAATATACAAAAAATAAAAGTATTAGAAACAAAGCAGTGTCATTGGAATACGGGTTAAGGGATGAATCAATCAAACAAACAAACAAAACAACGCTGAAAATAAATTAATACGATTAATCAGTCAGTAATTTCAATTAACCGTACTTTACAATCTGTGCACTGCTACCGTCTTCTTTCATATTCCTAAACATGCATGAAATCTGGGATTATTATTATAGGATTAAACGCCTTTTTAAAGGAATTTATTGGTGTATAAACTCGACCAATTCACTCACAAACAAATAAAAGTCCGAATATGTTTGTATGTGACTTGGTCCAGTTTATACACCAATAAATTCCTTTAAAAAGGCGTTTAATCCTTATAATTCTTAATAAAATGCTCCGCAGGACGCAGCTTGATACGACCGCAGAGGTCGAACCCTGAACAGTTGGGGCAAATATGGACACAACATTCAAGCTTGATACAGCTTTGCATTTGGATTGTGATTAAATATTTGATACAGCATAGGTTTCTGACACAGAATGAATGTGGTCTAAGAACTTAAAAATTTTAAATTGGACATTCACCTATTATGGTCCAATATCCAAAATCTAAATACATGGTTAGATTCAGCATATCAAAGAACCCCAAGAATTCAATTTTTGATGAAATCAAACAAAGTTTAATTTTGGACCCTTTTGACCTCAATGTGGACAAAGTTGATAACGGGGCCCAAAAATCAAAAATCTAAATACATGGTTAGATTCAGCATATCAAAGAACCCCATATATTCAATTTTTGTTGAAATCAAACAAAGTTTAATTTTGGACCCCGATTTGGACCAACTTGAAAACTGGGCCCATAATCAAAAATCTAAATACATGTTTAGATTCAGCATATCAAAGAACCCTAAAAATTCAATTTTTGTTAAAATCAAACTAAGTTTAATTTTGGACCCTTTTGACCTTAATGTAGACCAATTTGAAAACGGAACCAAAAATTAAGAATCTAAATACACGGTTAGATTCGGCATATCAAAGAACCCCAATAATTCAATTTTTGATGAAATCAAACAAAGTTAAATTTTGGACCCTTTGGACCTCAATGTGGACCAATTTAAAAACGGGGCCCAAAATCCAAAAACTTAATACACGGTTAGATTCAGCATATTAAAGAACCCCAAGAATTCAAGAATAAAACCCCATTGAAATTGATCAAGAAATAAGCAATTTATACGAAGTATCTTCTTTTGCACAATACTGTGCAATTGAATATTTCTTGCTATTGTGCAATACTGTACATTTGACAATTTCTTGCTATTGCGCAATATTGTGCTATTGGATATTTCTTGCTATTGCGCAATACAAGATTTCTTGCAATTGTGCAATACTGTGCAATTGAAAATTTCTTGCTATTGCACAATACTTATTATATAATAATTTACACATCCTGTTTGGTGTGTATCACCTACCATATCATTATTATTTGCTTTTAAATATTAATCAGAAATAACCAACTTAAAATGGAAAATTTTAAAAGAAAAAAAAAAGGAAAAAAAGAAAAAAAAAGAAAAAAAAAAAATCCCCCCCCCAAATTTTTTGAACCCCCTTATGATTCATCACCCCCAAACTCAATCCCAGCCTTCCCTTTGTGGTATGGTACCTTGCAGTACAATTTTAGAGATATCCATACACTTGAACACAAGTTATTGTCTGGAAACTAGAAAAATGCTTATTTTTGGCCCCTTTTTGGCCCCCAATTCCTAAACTTTTCGGGCAATTACCCCCAAACTCAATTCCAGCTTTCCCTTTGTGATATGGAACCTTGTAGTACAATTTCAGAAATATCCAAACACTTACACACAAGTTATTGTCATGAAACTAGAAAAATGCTTGTTTTTTGCCCCTTTTTTTGCCCCTAATTCCTAATATTTTGAGGCAATTACCCCCAAAATCAATTACAGCCTTCCCTTTGTGATTTGGAACCTTGTGGTACAATGTCAGAGAGTTCCATACACTTACACACAAGTTATTGTCTGGAAGTTACAAAAATGCTTATTTTTGGCCCATTTTTGGCCCCTAATTCCTTAACTGTTGGTACCATAACCCCCAAAATCAATCCCAACCTTCCTTTCGTGGAATTGAACCTTATGGTAAAATTTCATGGAGATCCATTCACTTAAACTAAAGTTAGAGTGCGAAAACCAATGTGTCTTCGGACGACGCCGGACGACGCCAGACGACGACGACGACGACGACAACGACGACGACGACGACGCCAACGTCATACCAATATACGACCAAAAAATTTTTAATTTTTGCGGTCGTATAAAAATTGGAGATAAGGAATTTATTTTTCCACACTCGTAACCTCTATCACACGTAAATTGTATATTAGTGTCATTGAATAGACCTGGCGCATGAATATATTTGTTGGTTAACGCAAAAATATGTACTCCATGAAATTTGCTATCTGATAAAATATAAACTACAAAAACTATTATCATCATTCAAACGAATGTTTTATGTTTATTATTTAATTTAACGATTAACGCGAAGTGAAAATAAATTTTGTTAACGTCGATCCGGATTGTGTTATTATCGCCGCCATCTTGTTTTCCTTGGTTACGAAAAGAAGCATATTATTTCAACTTCTTTGTTATAAATGATTGAAAAAATACATATCTAAGAAATTTGAAAAGAAAAAATTGATATGGGATGTACATGTATCTGGTAAAATCATTTCTTGTACCCCTCACCCATTTTCTCAACATTTTGGCTAATGAGACTGACTTGATTGGTTATACAATTTGAAAATTTTATTACTCAAAACTACTTATTGTAAATACACAATTTTTTCACAGAGTTAAGTTTGATTATAATATTTTTTAAATTCATGTTCATTGATATTTTCCACTTGTATCACATGTTTTGGAAATAATTCCAGAACGAGATTTCAGCAAGACTGAAACGTCAGAAGAATACATCTTTAATGTCAGCAATGGTGTGTATCCGATGGATAACTTTTGTACCGTAATTCTTATGTTAACCGAACTTGGTATGCAGTTGCATCATGGGCTGAGGTTGTGTCTTATACCAAGGTCAGATCACTCTGACCTTGACTTTGACCCCTATGATAGTAAAACCTTGTCCAATGCATGTCCTGCTCTTAACTTTTGTACTGTAAGACTTACTGAAAAATCAAACTTAGTAACTATGCAGTTGCATCATGGGCTGGGGATGTGTTGCATACTAAAGTCAGGTCACTCTGACCTTAGATTTGACCTTTGATCACTTTGATCAATTTGTGTCCAGCTCATAACTTTTGTACTTTAAAATATAGGTTAAAAAACCTTGGTATGCAGTTGCATCATGGGCTGGGGTGTGTGTAAATTAATATACCAAAGTCAGATCACATGAAATTGACTATGATCTTTGACCCCTATGAAGTAAAACCTTATCTTATTCGTGTACGGCTCATATCCTTTCTACTGTAAACTTAAGATAACCAAACTTAGTATGCAGTTACATCATGGGCTTAAGGTGTGTCGTATACCAAAGACAGGTTACTCTGTCTTTTGACCCTATGATAGTTAAAACTTGTCTGGTTTGTGTCCTGGGCATAACTTTTGTACCATAGAACTAAGATTGACCAAACTTGGTATGCTGTGTACATCCTTGAACGGGGCCGAGGGGGGTTGGCTGGTGTCATTTATCAAAATCAGGTCAATCTGAACTTGATTTTAACCTTTGACCCCCGTGATAGTAAAACATTGTCTGAATTGTATTTGGTGCATAACTTTTGTACTATAGCACTTAGATTGACAACGCTTTGTATGTAGAAGCATCATACTGACCTTGACTTTGACCTTTATTTTCTGAATTAACAGTATACAAACCTCAGACTCTGTTCCTTGGTCAGTATATAATTCTTCAAAAGTTCAGATTTATCTATCAGTAACCATGTGTGAATCTAACGCAGAAACAATGATTATATAAGATAAATAGCTGAAAACCAAATATCTTAAAATGTCATTGCCTCGATACCGATTTTCCCAGCAGGAACTTAAATGCATGTACGGGGGGGGGGGGGGGGGGGGGGTGTAATAGTCACGCTATGAGGACAGCTCTAGAAATGACTCGAATAACAGATACGCCAATAATGTTGGTTGTTACTTATATATAACACTCGTTATTAAGACAGCACAATACAAAGATTTTCACCTCCATTCAGACAACTTTTAACGCCTGGAAATAATGACTTTAATATACTAATTTATAAATGAGGAATCAAAACGGCAAAAGAAAGAAAACAAAATAATGATTAGTTGCTAGATTGTGGTGTACACATCGGTTTTCGTGAGATCCAAAAGTGTTTGATATATTCTTATGCACTGACTGACACGGTTTGACTTACAAAACTTTGTCAAAAGAATTTTCTTATTGCATTTCATTCTCTTACAACCCTTCTCTTTATTCATAAGTGATCAACAAATTCATTTGGGTATGAAATTTGCTTCAATATACATTTGTAATTCATACATATACAAAATAGATACTTCGGGATTCGCCTTTAAACATAAATCAATTAGATTAAGACCAGTAAGAAAGCATTCCATCACAGCAATTCTAAATATACAAGAAAAATGCATGGCTTGCGCAGTGCATCAAAAATCAGATCTGGCGGGAAAAATTGCATCACAACTGACCTTGCTCTAAGTCAGTTGCTTCTGATATGGTCAAAATTCCACCCACCCCGATTAACACCAATTCTTAATTATCCCAGAAGCTAATAACACAATTGGTTCTTGATTTTTAAATTTTGATTCTATTTATTCAAAAACGAAAGAAGGCTTATCTGATGCGTTTGACAATTTTCTTGGTGTGAAACATGGTGAACCACTCTCTCCTCTCCTATCCTGATTTTTATTAACGATATAATCAGTGATATACAAGTGGATGATAATGATGACATATTCGAACTTAATGGTTGTCTCATATAATTAATTTTATTTGCTGATGATACCGTTCTGCTAGCAAACTCCCCCGATGCATTGCAAATATTATTAGATACACTTTCCTTATACTGCAGGAGGTGTAATATAACTGTAAATACGAACAAAACAAAAATTGTTGTATTTCGAAATAGCTGGAAGCCCGTAACTGATCATTTTTATTTCGAAGGTCAAGAACTTGAAATCGTCAACTAATATATATATCTTAGTACGATTACATTTAAATGATTAATTTGTTCAAACTAAAAAAAGAATGGCACAACAAGGAGCTAGAGCATTAGTTCATCTTTATAATTAACTCAATGAAAAGCGTATTCATTGGACAAAGTCAAAAAGTGTTTTTTATTCAATAGCATGGTCGGATCTGTTCTGAATTATGCGTTCGAGGTATGGGAATTTGATCGGGCCAACGACGTAGAATATGTCCATAATCGTTTTTATCGCTATATAGTCAACTTGGGTAAAACTGTACCAACTTTGTTTTCTCATGTGGTGAATTCCGTCTCCTCCCGATGTGTATTTTAAGAAAATATAGAATTGGTAAATATTGGTTGCATTTAAATCATGACCAAACTTATATTGTTTATGATGTGTACAAAATTTTATGAATTGATACTTCTAATGTCAAAAAAAAAATTAAAAAAATTAGCAATCCAATGTGAGAGGCCTTTTGTTTAGTTTAGGTTTAGAATTACATATGGATTAACCAAGATAACATTAATGTATCATTTGACTTTATTAAATCTTGTTTCAACGATCAATATTATCAAAGCTGGTATGCTAATATTAATGCTTGTGAAAAACTGTCTATCTATAAAGGTTTTAAATTGATTTTTGTATGGTTTATTATTTGCAATATGATTTTAATACCAATATACTTACCAAATTACGTAGTGGAAGCTTAAAATTTGATCTAGAAACAGGTCGCTGTGACAATATTCCTAGAAACTATCGTATTTGTAGATGTTGTAAAATTGAAGATGAATACCATTTTGTGTTGACTTGTCCTGTGTATAAAACACTTACTAGATGTATCATTTTGTCAAAATATTATTGTTCATGGCCAAATACACGAAAGATAATATTTTTGTTACGAGCTGGGTCAAAAAGAGTAACAAAGAACCTATGTAATTATTTAAAGGCGGCATGGAGATTACGATCGCAAATTATCAGTTGATATGTTGTACAGATGTATGTGCTATTATTAGTTATCTCTGCATTATTTGATTGTTCTCTGTATTCTGTCGGCATATTTGTCATATATGTATATACCTCGGTATTTTGCTAAAGCAATGGTGTTGCTAATGCAATAAAGATTCATTCATTCAAAAAATAGTTTTTAAAAACAAATTATTTTGATTAATATTTTCTAGAAAAATAAGTTATGCATACATGTGAGGATAAAATAAGCAGTTAATTAGTCAGTTTAGAGGATTCATATGTGGGATTTCTAGATTTATAACTGTATACAAATTTTAATTTGTCAGCATCTTGATATTTCAAACTATGAAATCTGGAGTTTTTTATTTTCTAATATTTTGTTTGAAAAAGATGACTTAATTTTAGTTTTGTAAAAAATAAAATGAATTTGTAGAACAAACTTGAACTGTTGCACAATTATATTTGTTTAATTTATACATTCTAAACTTACAAATAATTCTCTTGTTTTTCTCTAAATCTTAAACATGTGTTTTGATTGGAATTCATTAACTTCTAATTTCTATAAATCACTTAATTCACGCCCTTTTCCAATGCTGTTATATTTATAGCTGATGGTCATAAAGCTATCAAATTAATATTCTGTTCAATGATAAAACACGAAGCACTGCCCTCATGTTCTTATTTTCTTCCAGTCACTCACGACATTTGCTTACACTAATAATACAACTATTAACAGTACAAGATATGGAAACATATTTTTTTCTTGTGGTTTAGACATTTACTGAAGAAATAAAAAAAAAATGCAGTAAAATGAAATTTTAACAAAATGTTGATGTTTTTGTATTATGCCAGTACTTTAAATGTATAATAATGCTTTCAGAATACAAATGGAATATAAATATCATGAGATGTAGTGCAAGTTAAATGTTTGTAAAGAATGATGTTTTAAAATAAAAAGGTAGTATGAATGCCAATAAGACAACTATCCAGCATAGTCCAAATGAAGCGGTTTTTAGTGTAGAGACGTTATTAACAGTCTGAGAAATACATAATTTTGTACCGATAAAAGCAATATTCAAATATCTTACTACGGTGTCGATATCATTAAGAATGAGTTTAATCAAAGGATCAATGAATTTAAATGAATCGTATCTCAATTTACGGGCTTTATAAACATCATTACCGTAAAAATTAGGATGTGATATATATCCTGTTTTTGATAAGAATCATACAGGTACAGCAAAACGTTAAAGTGTCCGTTTCAAGGAAGCTATGCGAAAGTCAATAGTACCTTGAAAAAACTTCATGTGGAGGGACTTAAAATTATATAAAAGAAACAGTAACTTTAGAGAAGCATATTTCTTTTTTTTCCAGCGTTTGAAAGAATACAGCATGTACAGGAATCCCTTGGTAAGGATAAATGATTAGATTTTATTGATGAATATTTACATCTATCACACATTACTGCATTATTTGGAAACTATTTTTTACAGACTCAACATAGTTCATATTGATTTATGGTTGAATGCACCTCTGTAATCGTAAAATTTCCCGCTGCAACTGTAAGATCACAACAAGCATTTGATCCCTTTTTATTACTAAATTCACAATTGTATCATTTTGACGGAATGTAGATTCGCATGGCAGGCCATGCGTGCATAGCATGAGACGCTTACCCTGTCAATGCACCCGGGCTCTCGGTCATAAAACTTTACTCAGTACTCGGAGTACAAAATTTGTGCTCGAAACACCAAATCCAGGATTTTGATTGGTTGATTTCTGAGTCTGAGTACAAAAATCGTGTTCGAAAGTTTTATGACCGCAAGGTCTCGCTGGCGTTTTAGCTCATACGATATTCCCTTTGCTTTTGTTTGTTACCTTGATTTGTCTTCTTAGTCGATTTATGAGATTTGAACATCCTTTTTTTCAATGTTAGCCTTAATATCAAATATATGATTAATGCAGCACACCTTATTTTCGCCTATTTTTAAAATTTCATATAATTTGCCTTTCATCACCTTATACAAATCATTACAATTTCGAATTTTATCTTCTTCATTAACATTAAGTGTAAACGATTATCATAGAAATTATGCCAGCGTTCTCTATTCATATTTACAATTGAGGTCGTCAAAATATAAATCTATCATGTACAATTTGTATCCACTCATACATGCTACAAAAGACTCTTCATCCCAGCTCTTGAAATATGGGTTTTGAATTAGAATTTTATGTCTTGAAATGGCTAGGGGTTATTTAGTATCTGACGAACTACTCTAAATGTTTCAAATGCCGCGGTAGAAAAAAGGTCAATACAAGAATACTATCCTTCAGAGCTACATGAAAGTGATCACGACCAGAAACTTTTAACTTCTGATTTAACGTTTTTTTTTTTGTTTTTTTTACATTATAGTTAACAATTCTTTGTATGATCGGACGGACGACTAGATTGATTTGGTTACTGGCATGTCGTTTCCGTTCAAACGAAACAAGTTTGTTACCACAGGAATGGTACGTCAAATGAAAAACGACCGATAAAAAGAAAATTTTTATAGGATATTTAAACGAATTTACAAAATTGGAACATAGGTAAACTAATGTTATCCCTAATCTAGCCTGATTTAGCGCAATTTAGGGAAATTTTGGTTTCCCTGTTCTCAGCTTCACAATTGATTTGTCCTTCCAACTGTATAGATTCGAACGCAACAGATGAGTCATACGTGGACGCGTCTGCAAGGCGTGCTAAGTCATAAGTACCGCCCTGGTATCTTTGGTGGCTTGTTTTAATAAAAGAAACACAGATTGCAGTCTCAAAAATATCATATTAAACTATGACTTTATATCGACAACTTGTTTTTAGTATGCCATAACAGAGTCATGCTATTCGGTATTTCAATGGATACGAGTTGTGAACCGAATTATTCTTGTACTTATTTTAAATAGAATATATTGGAAACGATCCTAAAAGACAAATAAGAAAACAATTTCTAGCATTGAGTTTTTTTTCCTTTAAATATAATAACGTGTCATTTACATATATAAATAATTACTTTTCTGTGATTACTGACGTCTCATTTCTCATCGTGGACTGAAAACGAGATTGTAACTGAGACTAGAAAGTCTGCTTCAAAAGTATTAATAGTAGTAACAATGTATCTAAATGGCATCAAATTCATGTCATGTGTAGCAAACTTATTCTTCTTTCTTGTATAGCAGATTTGTTTTTTCATGTTAGTAAAATATTGCCTTCAGAATTAGTGTGATGAGGTATATTCAGCCAGTGTTGTCAATCACGTGTGGATTCTTAACAATTCTAAAGATCTACTCTAAAATGTGCAATCACAACTTTGCAGTAATATGAAAACTTTAGCTTTGTCTACGCTCTATACTACTATTCCCGGTGCTCATTTGAAAATCGATAACATAGTCTCATTAAATACAACTTTGTTTACAAATGTGGGAATGGTATATACAAACTTTATGTTTTAGGTCATTCAAAATCTTACTTTCTTAATAACCACTCTGATACCAACAACAAATGCACCAAGAGGATATCATGAAAATGCTGGGTTTTTTGGTCGATAACCAATTTGTTATATGTGGTGGATTGATATTCTAACAGACAGTCGGTATTCCAATGGGTATTACTTGTGCACCCATACTGGTAAACTTGTTTTTGTTATCATATAAAGCATAATTTTAACAGCACTTCTTCCAAAAACTAAAAAAAAAATGAAAAAGAATCTCGCAAAGTTCTCTTATTTCACTTTCAGATATATTGATGATGTTCTGATACTCAATAATCCACATGTTAGTTAGTGTTTGCATTTCAGATATGCCAGTGAACTTGATATTAAGTAAACTACCGAAACTAGAAAGTCTGAATCATTTTTTTTTTTAAATTTTTCCTCGATGACTCATAGGACTTCAGACTATAATCTATGGCAAACTTGACGATTTCAAGCTCCTTTTGAAGTTCATGCGAGTCCTTCAGGTTTTTATTCTTTATTTTATTTTGTATCTTCTAAATGGATAAACGAAATTTGAACATCGGGAAACTACTGTTGACTCTTATCGTATAGCCAATTTATTCCTGTTTCATATTTAGGACATTTTTTTTCACACGTAAAACTGTTGTATTGACAATATCAAACATTGTTATTTCAAACGAGACCAACGATATTTTTAGAAAATTACATTAGCTCGAACTTGCTGTAGCCTTGACTTATGTTGTAATATCGTCTGTTTTTTTAAATATTAAAATCATGATTGCGTTTCAAAGATTTTTATTCATATTATGCTCGAATGTTTTGAGTAATGCCGATAATGCCTTTTCTATTTTAACAATACTGGAAAAAAGCACCAAAACCTAATAGATAAATATTCGGGGTCTACTTCACAAATAATACAAGATGATCTTGAGTTATAGATTCTAGGTGCGGAAGTTGTGGGTCTTTTTATTTTACTTTAGTTTCCCCGTTATTTATCTTCGTGCTATTATGTTTCTTATGGTTTGACATTTGACATGACTCGGTATTTATGCATCCGCTATCGGGTTTTTGACTTTTTTGGGTATTACTGGTGCAGGTGGGTCGAAAACAAAGGGGTTTTTACAGTGATGTTTCTATTTTTTTACACTTGTATTTATAGAAAGTGTATACTATATACGGTATGTACTCAGAGATCAACGACAAAAACTTTTTTTGTTGACGGTCATTGTCAAATTTACTATCTACTACACATTTTTTGTTGACGTCTTTGTTAAATTAATATGTATGTTTGTTTGAACAGTCAGTTGTGTTTTATGTCTGTTATGTCTGTTTACACAGTTTTGGCTGCTTGATCCCAATCATTGTCAAATTAACCTATAATGGCTGTTTTGGGTTGCTCACCCAATTTTGTCAATATAACGGAACTATAAACAACTGTCATACGTGAGGGAGGTTTAGCTAGCTATATAACCATGATTCACCCACCATTTTATTCGGAAAAATGCCGGTCCCAGGTCAGAAATATAGCAGTTGTTTTTCACTTGTTCCGTTGATTGATAGTGTTTGATTTTGTCAGTTTTTATAGACTTTCCCGTTTTGAATTTGCCTGTTAGAGTTCGGTATTTTTGTTATACTTTTATGGAGAAAATGTGCAAAACTGTAAAAAAAATGTATAAAAACAAGATCGATCAAATTCACAAACAAAAAAATATATATCAAAAAAGATTTATTAGAACACAAAAATAACAATAAGGAGAAGTCAAACCTTTAAGAATGCTGCCTAAATCATACAAATATCTTAATTAAATAGGTATTCTTGTTGTATCGGACTATAAACAAAAAGAACATAATCCTTTTTTATATATTGTCAAAATGAAATGTATATCAGTACTTGCTTTTCAATTACTTTAATAAAGAAATCACAAAGTTTTAAGGACGCAGTTTATTCATTCTATAAGGATTATTCAAAAAAATATATGTAAACAGAACAAATACAAGATCATATATTTTTTAAGTAATACATGAGAACACAAATTTTATAATTAATTTTTGATAATAGCAATAGAAAAAAGTGGTTCATTGCTCCATTTGAAAAAAATTAAAATAACAGTACAATCTTTTTGGAGGTAGACTGTCCGAGTTATCTTTCCTGAGAAGTCAATTTATTAAACTTTTTGGGGTAAATCGAAAATATTAAAGTTTAAAAAGCCATTTTTATATCTGAGGTAGTTCCTACTTGAGCTTGGCAATATTTGTCCAATTAAGATCGTGGTCACAATTCGTATACTCTCACACTACCTAACTTAATTCTTAACAAACTAAATTGCATATAATATATACACACATATATGTGTACACGAAGTCACTTCTAGTAATGTCGGGTATGTTGTTTTTGACAAAATAATCGCCAAGATGTATACGTTTTAATAATGACAATAATCTTTTACTGATTTGATGAAGCCCATGTCCGCAAATTGCATCAATTCCCCTTCCATATCCATGCATAATATAATTGGTTTACGAATCCATTAAAACTCTGTTCCATAAACCAATCGTGCTGCTATGCTTTCCACTGATGATGATCGTTTAAGGTTAACAGCTGATATTCCAAAAGTTTTTTAACTTATGCCGTAAAATCCAAACACGTTTGTTTTTTTCATTGGATATACAAGTGACATATCTGACAACGAAGCTTCAATAGTCTGGTCTTTCTTAAGTCTCACAGCCATGAAAAAATAACTACTCTCAAAAACTTCTTTCTGGTTGTGCTTAAAATTCACACCCTTGGTAAATAGAGTTGTGTATCCACTTTTTATTGTGTGCAATATAAAACCGTCAGACGTTCTGTGGTTAGATTTCATTTGTAATAAGTTGAATATTAACATTATTCCTGAAGAAGGAATACGTAATCCATCAGTTTGGTCACAGATGATATCTCCGGTATTGCTTTTCCATCTTAAATGGTCACCTGAAATAATAAACAAAACTTCAACATAATACCCGTGTTTCTATTAACGACATTTATATTGGAAATGATTTGAGATACGTTTTATATAGTTAATACTGTGTTTTGACAGGGGATGTTCTATGTTTATGTTTTTACCCTATTTATTTCTGTAAGTCTTAAAAATCATAAAAACCTTAAGAAACATCACTTTATATGTATAAAAAGAGACGGGGATGGGGGTTACGGTGATTATTTAGAAATCCAACAACACACATAGCCAAAAAACATCTACAGCTCAGCAAACAATAGAAGATATATACATAAAAAATGTTTAGGGTCCTCAGAATAAGTCAAATGTATATACGGTATACAGCATAAGATAAAAGAACACCACTGTCCAAGGTTAGGGAAGGATTAGGCGTTCTCAAACACGTTTAATCACGCCAGATTCTGTATGTGCCTGTCCCAAGTCAGGAGCCTGTAGTTCAGTAGTTGTCGTTGGTTCATGTCTGTCGTATTTGATTTTCGTTAATTGGTTTGTTGTAAATCAGGCCGTTAGTTTTCTCGTTTGTACTGTTTTAAACTTTTCATGTCGGGGTCTTTTATACAGTATGGGATTTTCTCATTGTTGAAGACCGTACGGTGGACTATAACAGATTACATCTGTTTCATTTAAACTCTGCTGGATAGTTGTCTCATTGGAAATCATAACACATCTTCTTATTTTTTATATGATATATTTAGTGCATTTTCATTTTTACCTTTTTATTATATAATGCTTGGAATATTACAACACACTTATAGATATATAATATACATAATCATGTGACAATTTTAGGACAGACTTCTCAATCGGATAACTCGTGGTTATACAGGGCGACCTCCATAAAATACATATAATTCGTCTCAAATTTAACCCAACAATGTTAGATCTGCAAATTTGCGATAGCAAAATTTTGTTCTTCCCTCAGCCGGATTCGAACCCCTGATTCTGTGACATCGTGGCAAGTCTGCCTGCACTGTGTCAATCGCCCTAGACCACTCACCCAGCTAAGCTTTATAAAAATATAGCTTTCGTTAGTAGATATTAATGCCTTTGAGTTTCCTCGTCGTTTTTATCAAGGGTTGTAACACAGTACATAATGTAAAATGGCAACTAGGATGGTGTACCTTTCAGATCAGCTGTTTTGTCTCTCGCAAAAGATGACAAAGTAACTTACCATGCCGCCACATCACATATTAATTTTATCACATACGTATAAACGTAAATATATAACTAATTATACCAACATATTGTCATTTACTACGAATAAATAAAGTACCACTCAAAAGATATTCGTTAAACAAATTATAAGTGCTTCAACTTTTTGCAGTCTTTTCACGTAACTGATTATTTGAAACTTCTTCGGATTGCAGTTTTTCTTTTACAGAAAGAAATACCAATCACTTTTATCCATATAACTTTCAAATAAATATGATATTTTAAAAAATAAATTTTGAGAAATTAGATAAGAATATGAATTTAGCAGACGGTAGACATACGTCATTGAGATAGCAACACTGACATCAAGACAGAAGGTTACAGAACGAAAATAATTGAATATGCAAACAGGTCTTTAAGAGCCACATAATCTTTTCAAAATATACAAACTAAAAATACTCAAACATAGGTGCTGTCAACGTTTTACTGAACTGATGCATGGTGGTGTATTAGATTATTTTTCCGTCCAATTTACCGCTATGACATACAAGTAAATGAGTGTAATTAACTCAAGGCAGACGACTAAAAAAAAACAGAAAACAATATGTGCATAGCTTATGTTAGTATGATGTTTTGGGACAATTTTCATCAGATACCCTCAATAATGAAAGTTCCGAAATCTCAATCCAAAAACCGTTTTGAGCATTAAAACCAGTTAAACTAAAGTTAACTATCGTATCGGCGTATAAATTTCTCTGTGTACAAAAGTACTGAAATGTGCATGGTATTTCAAAATTATAAAATGTTTAATCAGGGTTTAGCCATATTACGTATATGAATTACACTATGTATTTAGTGGAAGGAAACTCAAAATGTCATTTGCATTGATAATGATAGTTATGTTTCATAAAGTTTGGAAAACACCATAAGGGAAAGCTTCTTATTTATTTTTAATTTGATAATATTCAAAATACTAAACTATTTTACCTTTTAAGGATCTAGGATTTAGGTAGCAAGTTCCACTTCTATCAGATTTCTCCATGGTGGAATTGTTCCTATGGAATTCGAACGACATCTAGAAATAAACATTTTACACGTCATCACATGTTGTTAAAAATAAACAAATATAGATACGTTAAAAACTTTACTACCTAATAAAGAACTTCCTCCAAAAATATTCCCTGCATTACGAAAAGCATTGTTCAAAGATAATGGTGGCTTAGATTGTGTAATTCTCGATAAAAACTGAAACTGAAACAAGAAAAGTTTTGTTGTTTGAAAACAAAAAAAAAATATTAAAAATTTTCAGCAAAATAGAACTGTATTTTCCTTTTATGAATACAAATCCCCAGTGATTCTGATTTCCGTTTTTACGTCAAGTCTTACTGGTACACTCAATGCCATACATTTGGAAAAGAGAGGCGAGGATATCTCATATGTCGAACACAAACTAACAAAGCCATATATATATAGCAAACGACGAAAAGACAAACAACAGTCTACAAAATACAACATAGAAAACTAAAGACTGGGCAACACGAACCCAACCAAAACACGGGGGTGATCCGAAAGGATAAGCAGAGTGTAAATGAAAAATATAAAATATTAAGTGTTTGTATAACATTAAAACAAAAAGGGGCATAACGAACCAGCAAACATTGTATATGACCATCTTTGCGCCAAGGAGGTAACACCTTACTTTTAGTATATTTACATAAAGGTTCGACTGTAACTATAATCGAAATTATTCCAGTACCGAGGAATAAATAAGTGACTCGTATACTCGAGAGGGGGGATGTAAAATATAACACTGTTTGAAAAATAATAAAACATAATTCCACAATCATCGAAAATACAGTTGATGTTTACTTTACAAATTAGCGTCATCCGTCTATTTCTGTTGTGAAAAACAAAATTGCAGGAATAAGTAAGAATTTCCTATCCTTCGTAATCTTTAGGAAAAGCTGTTATAATATTCGAATTAGCTCTCGCCGCGATATAGCCTTTCTGTGCTAATGCGGCGTAAAGCAAACAACAATCAATCAATCAATCTTTAGGAAAAGCTAACATTAGGTATGATTTAAAGGAATAGAAAATGATACAAGTTAAATGCCATACACATGTAATTGCTTTGCAAAGTTTTGTCCTTAATTCCCGGTAAATAGTTCAAAACATTGACAAAATATGAGGAGGTGCACACGTTCAATGTTTATTAATTCATTTTGTTAAGGGGGGGGGGGGGGTGTAAAATTTCAAGGAATTGAAATGGATATAAAACAAGAGAGATGCTGATTATACAAATTAATCTAAATATCGAAAAAGTTTCGAGATAACGATAAAATGAAAATGAACATTTTATACTGAGTTTATTTTGCTAGATTAACACAATTGTAGGAGGAGGGGATTGCATAATAAAGATATATCAACATGATACGAGTAATTATTAAAAAAAATCAAATGATTTCTGCGCAAAAACATGTGCACTCGTCACTCCCGTAACCAAAAGTTTAGAAAGACAACATTTCAGAGCGGAAAAAAACAAAACTTCCTTATGTAGAACAATTAAGATCTTCTAAGGCCACCTTAATAGCGGTAAAAAGAGACAGAAAAGGGTCGGTTTTTTAAATGAATAAATGGATTGTCATTACATAAGTAAGTGATAAACAAAAACTTGAAAGCAATTCAATTATTATCAGTATCAACAAATGTGAACATCGTTTATACCCATACATTTTATATAGATACCAATCTGTTTTATATAGATACCAATCTGTATTATAAAGATACCATTCTGTTTAAGAAGAAGAGGCCTTTTATCAGATTAATGAATACATTTTTTTGCTCAAGCTGTATATTTTTTCTTTTAAATATTTTCCCAAAATTTTTATTAAATGCATTGAAGAGTGAGTAAAATAATAGGATTTTTTCCCGACCAACTTCGGGGCGAAATATTTTTTAAAACCCAGACCACTCCTCAAAATTATAAATGGTTTGAGCTAAATTAAGTTTGATCCGATTTTCAATTCACAGAATTTAAAAACTAATTGTATTCAATCGTTTTCTTAACAGTTCATATTACAACAGATACATAATAGTCACACCAAACATAATATTATAAGCTTGCAAACCGTTAGTTGTTTTTGCGGGGAGATGGGAAGTAGGGAGGGGCGTTTGAGATTTTTTAAATTTAATTTCGTTTCATATTTCATATTTCCTTTTCACTTTTTTTCATGTGTTCTTGTTCTTATCCATGCAATCTTCCATAACTTTAGTTTATTTGTACTGGTACTCTAAAATAAAAAAAGGGGGGCTTCCATGCAACTATCGCAAGTGCAAACACACAAAACACAATTCAAGAAAACTTACAAAAGCAAAAACATCTGCAAAAAACAAAAATAAATAAACAAACAAACGAGCAAATACCCCCAAACCATAAATATGTGATGTACTTACCAACTGCATTAACAAAGTAACAGCAGGAACCGTTTCTTTCATACACATATATAGTTTACTATCATTGCAAGGCACAATTATTGTACTGTTCAGCATTTGTTCGACTTTACCATCAGTATTTGATTTTTGCATTTGGATTTCGAGCAATAGGTGAAGATTTCCCACAAAAAGCGAAAAAGCTGACAAAGTGAGCAGCGCAATGCCAACTTTATACTTGCTCATATCATGTTTTGGGATCCATTGATGGAAATATTTGTTTCTGTCGGTTTTGAAAAGTGGTAAGTACTTATCCATTATTATTTTTTAGTACAGCTATATATTACTGATCAGATTTATCAATTCAGATTAGGAAAACAGAAAATGTTGGGAACTCTATCTTTAAAAATTCTTAAGTGCAACCAAGAAGGTGACATAAGAACACTTTTTCTCAGTAACTGTCTACATTTAAACAGAATTTATAAAATAATTGAGATTGAAAAACCACAAAACTGACTAATGTTGTTAGATCAAATAGGGTATTTATATCTTTATAATGGATTTACCTGTAAACAAACCAGGAAGTTAGTGTATTCCAATGAATGCACGATTATTCATAAAAGTGCAGTTTATTTCAGTGTATTTTGATCTTCATAAAGGAAATAATAAACATTATCACGAACATTATATTTGATCCATATTTAGTCACAAAGTTTTATGTTCATAATTATATTTGTTTATATGCCTAATATGTATGACTTAAATTATCATTGACATGATCCTGAATATAAATTTTATAAATTAACTGTAAACTTAAAATTTTCGAAATACTAAGAATTTTCTACCCCAAGAATAGATTACCGTAGCTGTATTTTCCAAAAATCTTTCGGAAATTTGAGTTCTTAATGCTCTCCAACTTCATTCTTTATTTGGCCTTTTTAAATTTTTGGTTCGAGTGTCACTGATGAGTCTTTTGAAGACGAGAATTACGTCTGGCGAACACAATTTTAATCCTTGTATCTATGATGAGTTTATATACTTAAAGAAAGGAAATTGATACTTGTATTTACAATTATTGTAGTTGCCCATTCATTATTGAAAAACATAAAAATAACAAATCTGACGGATAGTCTAACAGTATCTAAGATACATAGTATTGTGCTTTTGTATTTTTGTAAATGATTTGTAGGCACACGTACTATCAAAGGGATCTAGGAGGCAGAGGTTGATCTTATCCTTGCTATTTTCCCCCCAAATGAAACTACACGTTATAAATTTCGTGCGTCCGAAGCGTTTTTCTGAATTTACCTTCATTAGGAACGCTCAAACCAAAATATTTGAAAGCCAGAAATTAATTAATATGTAGACACGTTACCAAATGGGACATAAAACTAATAGTAGCCAGATTAATCAATATGTAGACACGTTAGGAGCTATATTATCAAATGGGACATAAAACTAATAGCCAGATTAATTAATATGTAGACACGTTAGGAGCTATATTATCAAATGGGACATAAAACCAATAGCCAGATTAATCAATGTTCAACTTTGCCTGAGGGGTTTGGAACCTTAATTTCTTCATATTTATTAGTTTATTAACGGGGAATTTTAGAAAAACATTTTTTTTTAATTTGTGACACTATCGAAGCACTAACTGCTGACCTGATAATGCACTTGGGTATATTAAATAAGTTTTTGCGAATTTGAGGTTGATACCCATTTATAGAGGGCTTGTTTCTTAAAAGGAAGCCAACGAACCAAGGGTTCTGAATAGTAAAGTTGAAGTCATCTTTTTGAAAAATTGACTGACTCCATCATAATTTGTAGGCCCTTTATGAATTTTTATAAGATGACCACATATATGTTCTATTAGTCTTATTCATAATGCCGTCTTTCTCTCAGTGCTATGCCATTACCGAAAACGACTTATCATCAAACTTTGCTTGTAATGAGATACACGACGGGTGCCAATAGTGAAACAGGAACCTTTCAGGGAACATGATTTCATATCGGTTTGTATGGAAAAACTCATCAAGAATCAAACAGTTGGAATTTTGGCTCCACAATTTTCTTCATCTTCGCACTTTATTAAGCCGTTTATCTTTTGATTCGAGCGTCACTTGTGTCTTTTGTAGATGAAACGCACGTCTGGCGTACACAATGAAGTGGTTGTTTTCATTCTCGCGCTTTTCAATTTGGTCATTTCATTGTCAATCACACCACATTTCCTTATTTTGTTTTTATAGCTAGCTAAACCTCCCACTTGTATGACAATTGTTTATAGTTCCGTTATATTGACAAAATTGGGTGAGCAACCCGCACAGACATAATAGGTAAATGTGACAATAATTGGGATCCAGCATCCAAAACTGTGTTTACATAAATTACAACTGACTAAAAAATCCAAGCAAACATGCAAATAAATCTAGCAAAAACGCCAACAAAAAAGGTGTTGTAGTTGATAGTTTTTTTTTAACAAATTAGAGGATGAAGGGTATCCAGTTTTAACTATTTTATTTCTGGGCAAATATCCCTTGATAGACTGTATTTCTTAGTTTTGCAAGGTTTAAAAATTATTTGTTACAAACATTTCCCTGCTAAAGCATATAAATACTAGAGTTCTAACCGTTTGAATGGCCTTTCAAATAGCAACCATCCATTTCAGTGTTTGTTTGACTATCTTTTGAATTTGATAGCAGCCTTACGCCTAGATATTAGGAGTTTGTCTCATCAGAAATCTTTCACAGGTTGCATGAACTTTTTTGAAGTCGGGCTTTGATTCATATCGCGTGAAGTTGTGTGCAGTTTATATATTCATGATATTGTTTATCGTTGTGTGTTCTAATAAATTCTAGGATAATGCCTGAACTGGGCAAAACACGGCAGAGTACTATCGAAATGGATGAAAAGTTTCAGGTTGTCAATACAAATGCGAATTAATAAACATCACGTTCAGATGACAATCCTGTGACGTTTATCTTCAAAAACAAAAATTCTCCTCGAAACTAGTTTTTATTTAAAAATATATATGTTATCCTCAAACAGAGGAAGTCCCAAACAATGTTTTGTGTGTATTAATGTAATGTGTTAGGCAAAGTACGTTCCTGTATCGCTCACCTGGCATTTTTGAATGAAAATAATATAATGCAACAATGACATTTGTGTTATATGAAAACTATTCCTGCAAAAATCCTGACCTTACTGATCATTTATACCCGCAACAATTTTCCCTAGGAACAAAATCGTCAAAACTGAATATCCTTCGTCCTCTTCCATGAATCATGAAGATATATGAAAATGTGAATTAGCATGGGGGTGATGCACACATTTGAGGAAACGCTTACCCTGTCAACGCACCTGGTCTGGCTCTTTTTGGAGATCATGCGATTCCCTCAGCTTTTGTTTTTTGTTTTGATTTGTATCTTTTTAATTGATTTATGTAATTTGAACATCGGTCAAATATTGGTACCTCGAATCTATTTGTAGAAAAGTGTTTTTGATCACTGATTTTGCTTATTCAGTCATAGTTTCATTCGTCGACCAGTGATTTACATAATAAATTCAGTCTTTTGAAAATTTGTATGAAGGAGGACATCTGTCAATAGTACCTTTATCAATTAACTGAAACGATAGAAATGAATCAGTTAGTAATATACAAACCAGTTATGTTATCTCTCTGACCGTCTAACGCTACAATGCTACAATCTTTTTTGGTACTTTTCTGTCAATGTCCAGTCACTTGTAGGGGCCATTTAAGGAATTGTCTGGTGGATGTTTATAGCTTATAGTTCATTCATGTGGACAAAATCCTTGAAATATTTGGTAATTTTTGTTAAGATATTCGAATTTAAAGTTTACAAAATGTCGGGTTACTTCATTGCAGATTTTGTTCCTATCATTTTAACAAGATTCATTCAGATCATAAGTGATCTTGCATAATTTCGGCTAACATCTATATGACCTCGCTGTCAACAATGAAAGCTCGATTTTCAGCTCCAAAGACTTCAAATAGACAATAAATATATATTGGCATTATGCACCTGCTCAATTTATAACAATTTTCAAGATACGGGACAGTACATGCATTTTACCCTTCTGTTTGGGTTTAGGCAAAGTCGGCAAAGATGATTGGTTAGCGGGATCATCGAAACTAATTCCCTAAAGAGGATTACGGCAACCTTTTTGCTAATTTTGCCTGAAGTAGTGTACTAGTGAGTTTATTATTGTAAAAGTTACCAGACGACGATGAACGCCAAGAGTCAAGTGTCATACTAGCCCCTTGGGCAAGGTGAGCTTAAATATAAAAATCAACTATCAATAGTTTCATTCATGTTTACTAGAACTGAAACGATATTTACGAGAAGCATATAAGTAAAGATAACACACAAAAGGATAATATTATTTACCCAAATTATTGGACAATACAACAAACTACACCAATAATCAACTCTTCTGAAAATCGGTTTATCCTGCTTATGAGTTCGACCCAAGATTTCTTTGACTTTGGTTTCTTTTTAGTGTCGTCTTTTTTAAAAACAATTTCTGGAATGCATTTATTGTTGATGTCAATAATGGTCTCGTCCATCCTCTGTTTGGAATAAAATCTTCACATTTTTATTTCAAAATATCTTATCGGTCATTTATTTACATGTAGTAATGGTCTTTAAATTTTTTACTGTCCAAGGGTTTGACAAGACATGTTTATCAATCCGTATGGTTTGTGTCCTAACTACTGGTGATGACTATGTTTCAAATTTTAACATCAATGACTCGAAGGGTTCTACTAGTGGAACAACAATCTTTAACCTTTTCTGAACATTTATGTTGTACACCGGTTTTTGTTTGTTGAGCAATCTGTAGTTTCTAAATTGGTGAATATTGGTTTTTTTGTTATTTTTTTAGTTCACATGACCCAATGGGCCAGAGTTATCACTTGGCGACCGTCGTCGTCCGTCGTCCGTTTACTTTTACAAAAAATCATTTCCTCTGAAACTACTGGGCCAATTAGAAGTACACTTAGCCATAGATATCCTTGGGGATTTAAGTTTACACAATGAGTACAATACTTAGACCTGCCAACTAACATGGTCGTCAAGGCTAAACGAACGAAAGGAAAACGTAAGTTTTGTCTATTTTCTTGAACTAGTTATAGAGGAAATTTTTAATAACCCGTGCTAAGCGGAGAAGCAGCAAATACTAATTTAAAAGTCTTTTATTTGACCCGGTCGGGAATCGAACCAACGACATACTGCACTCCTGCACACGAGGCGAGCACGCTACCATGAGAACACCGAGGAGGTTAAGTACCCATTGAAATGGTATTGAGCGACAGGACATCGTCTTTATATCTGAAAATGAAATTAAAGAACTTTAAATGATTCTCTTTCTTTCAGATCTTTAGAAGGTTTTGTGTGAATTCTGCTTCATATGAGTATAAAACACATCGGTCAGTAGGGGTTCACGATTAGTACTCATTGGAATGAAAGCTGCTTGTTTGAACATCAATCAGTAAAAACTCATCACATATGTTTTTGATCAAACGTCTAGCATTTTGATGATATCGTCCGGTATATTTGTTATTGACACTGCATGTGTTTCTTCATAAAATAACTTTTCATGACCTAAAACAAGGAATTTGTATCTAAGATCCCATTTTTGGTAGAAAAGGTAATGTTTTTAAAATCAAATAGTGTAGTCTTGTAGTCCCATCAGACATTGGGAACAGTACTTTATTGACTAATGAAATCAATAGTTTTGATATTACTGCAAAATTGTTATGTTTTTGCGTGAAGATTTTACAGTAGTTCTTTAGAAGTTTCGAGAATCAACATATAATTGACACCACTGGTTGAATATACCCAATCAAAATATTTTGGAAGGCCATATTTTACTGTAAAAAGAATGGTATTAACAACTTAAGAAAGATGTTGATTCGAAAATTTAGATAGCCCTGCTATATATCTTTCCTTCTAAGGATTGTGGGGAAGTTTGGGTATCCAGTATAAAGATAATTTCCTCTTATATGTTAGTAACAAAGGAGAGAAGGACGAATTTGGGACTTTTTAAAATTACCTGTTTTGTAAATATTGTAGGTGTATCTGTGGGATTCCCATGTTTGATTGGAACTCATAGTTCTTAAGTTAGGCAATCAAAATAATGATGTTTGCCTTCGTCTGCTTAAACAAGAACATGATCAGATTTTACCCTCACCGATAAAAAAAAAAATCAACGCAGCAGAATGAAAGATATAATTTTAATTAGAATGCAGTATAAGATAAGATAAGATAAGATATTTTATTTCCAATTATGGGCCCCAAAGGGCATAAACATTACAACATCAATAATTTTTTCATAATACAATACAAACAATGAGATAAAAAAAAAAAAAGTTAAACGAGAACTATTTAAGTTCTTAAAGAATACGTAGATAAAGAATCTATAGTATGTTGTTTTTTTTAATACTAATGCATTTTATTGCAAGTGTGGTTGATATAGATAACAAACAAGCAGCCCAAAAAGAAAAAAAGAAAAATAGATATCCACATATGTATAGTACACAAAAAGTTGGATCAATTAAATATATAATAATTAGCCAAAAAGAAAGTAGAAATTAAACATGTCCATGACTCATCCTGTGTCAGCAGCAAATAGGAAAGCATTATGGTTTCCTAAAGGCAGCTGACACCAGGGGGCGATACCTTATGGGCCATAGGCATGTAAAATGTGTGTAAATGTCTCTTTCCTACCATTTAATCGCCATTTATCTTATTTTTTTCTTCTTTTTTATCAATATTACTATTTGAATCACTCCATTTAATGTGTTAGTGTTTGATTATGTTGTTTGCTTATCCGTTCATTCGTCTAAAGACAACAAGACTAGAAGCAAGCTATCAAATAGATTAAAATATAACCACTAGAGTAAATGAAATGAAATACACAAACCAACCAGGGCGCAAGTGTATATTAATCTTCATATTGGTTGTCTTTGTGGGGAAACAAATGTTGTTTAGCTTTTAATCTTTTTACTCTTGTTATCATGATGTCCTCTATTTTCTAATTATACTTTTGATTGTTTCTTCGTTATTTTTTGTTTTTTGTTTTTTTTTGGAAAGTATAATAAAAGGGAATATGTTTGTGTGTGTGTGTGTGTGTGTGTGTGTGTGTGTGTTTGTATGTATGTGTGGTAGTTTATCAACTAATTTTTTGTTTGTATGTATTGTTTTGTGGACTTGTTTGTCTTTTCGTCGTCTTTCGTTTTTTACCTTGGCGTTGTCAGTGTCTCTTTGATGGTTTTTTGAATGTCTCCTTAGTAACTTCTGCAACTTTTTATCATTATCCATTAGTGTTGCTCATTCAGACAATTATGTCAAATTATGCAGAACTTCATATGAAAAACAGTCGATTCTAATTGACTATTGATTGGATTCGCAGACTGTGTTAAATCAATCCCTAAGCAAAAATTATTAATGTTTACCTTTTTTTTATTGCAAGTACATTGCATCAACCTATCTCTTTATTAAAATATTGTTTGCCTCAGAAATCCAAATGTATTTGCGTACTGTAAAATAAATATAGATTTCATGAAAGTTGATCAAAACGATAATTAAAACTCGTCAATAGTTGTTAAAGAGCCGATACAGTTTATTGGTTATTTCCATTACCATTGTAACTTTTGAAATGTCATTAACTTACAATAAGTCTTTTAAAAGGCATTGTACATTAAAAGGATGGTGAATTAATACCAGGTAAAGATAAACGAAAGATAACGGCATTAATATTGCATGTGTCTTACTGTTAACAAATGATTTATATCGAAAGAAATATCATTAAATGCAAAAATGTCAGACAAATCTGACAAGCCAGAACAACTGACATTTGCTAATATTTGGGATGATTATATAGAATCAACAGGATTTCATGCAGTTAATAAAATAAATTTTGGACGGAAGCATCCACTTGCAAGAACGTAAGTTAGTTAGAATACATCCTTCAGTGGATGGCGCCTTCATACAACTGCTAGGTGGTTATAAAAATTTAGGTTGGAAGCTTATTCATCATACAAATGACGTCATACCATTTTTTTGGTAACAGTTGTGGTATGAGATCACGGGTTTTTACTCTTGAAAACTAAAAGCCATAGAAAAGAAATACATTTTCATTTTGTTTGCTGCTTAGTAACAATATACCTCCGCTCTCGATTTTAGCCTATTGCTTGCTGAACTTTGGTGTATTTTACTCATATCATATATTTCTTTTCTATTAATTGCAAACAATTGATACTCGTTGATAAAACTTTGTTTGAAGAAAATGTTTTACTTTAATCTCATGATGAACTCTCATTGGTGTATTTAGCTTTATTGTAAGATTATGTAGTAGTAGATACTAACAGTTCATTACTTAGCCCTACCGATCAGGCATTGAATAAATATTGTTTTATAACCTAATTGCCTGGACTCCATTTCAGTCAATCTAAAATGTTTTGTAAATCATCAAGGAGCTAATTTTACTCTGTTTCGGTCTTAACTGACAGATAACTAATGTTATCAATCTTGGAAATTCATTGTGAAAAGAAGAATTTTCAGAGTTCAGTATTTGATATCTAGTCTTTTCCTACTACCCATGTAATCCATTTATATATTTGAA